AAAAAAAAAAAAAAAAAAAAAACAGCTACCAGATATTGCTTACCTGCATGGCCTCACCCCTTAGTTTGACCAACTTGAGTCCGTCTTCAAAGCTTAAAAAGTTAAATTAAATACAAAATTACAGAGGTTAGATAATTGTTCCTTTCCTCATTTGCTCAAGCTGATAAATAATGATTCTAAACTTCTTATAGATGGATAATTTACCCATAGACTACAAACAATAAGTCTGAGATTTGAAGCAAATAGCAAACTTTAAATCAATCATTCACATTCAGAAAACCCATGGTTGGGTCATTCACTCATTAACTATCCAGTTGATTTCTTACTTTCTAAACTATGACACATTAGTGTCATGACTAAAGGACAAATTCCATAATTACTTATTAATTTATTATGCTTTTATTTTTGTGAGGATTTCTTTATAAATCATGGGGATAAATATGGAAAAAAAAAATTAGGGAATGAGAGGGAACGCAATATAAAAGTAATTGTAATAAATAGTAATTAATTTTGGCAACTCACCTGAAAGCCCCAGCAAATGCTAGAGCAGTATACTCTCCCAGGCTTAAACCACATGTAACATCAACTGAGTCAATAATCTGCTGGCCTCCTTCACGTGCACGAAGCAGCTCTACAGCAGCAAGACTTGTGACATAAATAGCAGGCTGAAGAAGCAGAGAATCAAACAGTAAACATTGCATCTATGACAATCTTTATAAACAACAGAAAGTTCATGAACAGAATTATGTATTGGTACTAGTATAATATCATAACCAGAAAAGATGTTTATAGCTAAAATACAGTTGTTTACTTCTTCATTTCTTTTCCCTTTTTCTATTTAAAGAATCTTGAATAAAAAAACAAAGGAGGAATAAGGCCTGGTGAGGAGGAAATTGAATGCTTAAGTGCAACTAGACTAGTAAAGTGACCCAAGTGAGTTACAGCACCAGGACTTGTATTTCCTTTCAGAAGTTAACAGCATAGGTTTCTTATTCAACATTTGCATATTTTTTAATTTGGTCAAACATAACTGCAAAGTGCACCGATTCAGAAGTGATCCACCAGAAGTATTTTCCTTTCTACTTTCAATCATTAAATTGAAATTGCCTTGATCACTTATTTTGCATATAAGCCAACTCCATAGCATTCTACTATATTGGACTCTTTTTTTTTATTTATAAACAAATGTTAGTAATTAGTATGTTATGTTAGTCCAGAGGATTCGAACCCACACCACCCCTTACGCCCCTCCCCCCAAATCACCAAACCACCTTATCACTCCAGTTAGTAGGGGGGATTCTACTATATTGGGCTGATCTTCAGTTTTAAACATATCTTTATTAGATTAATCGCTGAGTCACAAATGGCATGCAAATTACCAGCACATTCTATATACCATTTATACACATAAAACATATACTTGCTGTTTGAGTTTCAAGCAAGAGCAGCCCAAGGACTCTTTCCTAACTGAAGGTTATCTTTAAACAATAAATAATTAGTACATAAATATAATATGCAGCTTATTCTGAGTTAAATGATAATCAATATTAAAAGGCTTTTAATAGAATAAAAAATCAGTAGAACATTATAGAAGTATTTTTTTTATGTCCTCTGCTGTCCATTTTTACCTGAAAACTATGTGAGAGGGGGAGGGGGAAATGGAATACAATTACTACACCATTATTTAGATATTTTATAGCAGAACAGAGCAAAGTTTCCATTCAATTTTTTTGGTGTACAATGGCAGTAACAAAGTTAAAATCTAGAACCTCGTAATAACTATTCAAACTTGTCATTATTAGGCTGACCCTAATGGTTTCAAAGTTTCCATTCAATCAATTGTAAGCGAATGGAAAGATAATTAATGAAAATAATAAACAATAAGTTAGTTTCATCCTATATCTCCCAAATCGGGCAGCATTAGATGGAATGATACGTAATAGATTTCATGAGCTTCCAATCCATTCCATTGTATCATAAACAATCCAAACCATATAAACTAGCATCGTTCTACTCCATTTCCCTCTGCTCTATCAAACCAAACATAACCTCAGTCCTTAGTCAAGTAAAAATAGCCAATCCTAGATTGCCAGTTATACTAAACAGAACACATAATTTAACAAAAGAATCGAAGAACAAACCTGGCTAATAACAGTCGAATCAAGCTTTTCTTTGGGCCCATTGACGCATACATCAAGAAGATCAAACCTGAAATCAGAAAGCACATCATATTAGCAACAACACAAAAAACCCAAAACGCTTATAAAATTAAGGTGGCAAGTCGCAAGTCGCAAGTCGCAAGTGGTAAGTGGTAAGTACCCCAATATCTGATTGGCCTTGCTGAACAAACCCGCAGCAGCAGGCACATTCTGAGCTTCCTTCCCCATTCCAACAGCTTGGGCGCCCTGCAATCACGGAAACAGCACTAGTCGATGTGGGATTCCCAGAAAACAGTGGAACAGAGGAATGGCGTACCTGGCCGGGGAAGAGGAAGGAAGTGGAGGCCTTGTAATCGGCGAAGAGAGCGTTGTGAAGGGAGGCCTGAGATCCGGCGGAGAGGGACATGGAAACCCTAGATCGAGGGAGAGAGAGGGTGGCTCCGGCATCGGCGGAAGGGGCGAGGAAGGGAGCGGAAGGGAGAGCGAGGGAGGGAGCCATGGCGGAGAGCGGAGTCGTAGAAGAAGTGGTGCGAAGGAAAAGGGAATGGTGAATCAGAGCTTGCATTTCATATGTGTGAAGGCGGAGAATACAACACAAGACGTTAGACGCTGTTTGTTTAGTTATTAGAAATTTCGCCTTTCGAAACGGCCTACTACTTCACTGCTATCATCACCCATCTTCATCATACTCATAACTCATAAGCTGGATGACCACAACTAGGCAAACCAAACTAAATAAATAAATAAAAAATCCAAATTATCATGTTATTACTAACAGCTTAATTTAATTTATTTTATTTTATTATATTATTGTACAAAATATTTACCTATTTTATTGATGACAGATCTTTTGCTTAAGATAAGAGCCTGGTTGACCATCTTTAGAAAGTTATCTCCTCTCAATTACATTATTTTTATATACTAAACATGAATATGAAATCTTTCTTAAAGAGATCGAGTTCAATATTAATGAACCAACTGCTTAATTTATAAATAAAAAAATTACATATTTTTATAAAAATATTAAATATATATTTTACAACTAAACATATAAATTAACTCGTATCAAGTTGTGTTACAAATATATATATATATATATATATATAAAGAGGGTTTAAATGATATTAGTGTAATTTTTATTAAGTATTACACTATTTAATAATTTAATATTAAATATAAATTTTGTAAATTTAATCATTAGATTGAAAGTTTTTCACTCTTAAATCATATACACAAAATTTTATATTAATTCAAGATTTGATATTTTATTCTTATAAAACAAATTTAACGTAATATATATATTTCAAAATATATTAAAATATGAACACTTTGATTATCTTTTATGTTGTTGTTCAATTTTAACAAAATTTGATAAAAACATAATATGAAAATTATTATTTTCTAAAGGAATTAAATTAATCGATAAACAACATATGTTATGTGTTTTGATTCACATTTGTAACTTACTAACATAATTAAAAATAAATAAATAAATGCTATCGTAGATTTAAAACTTGATCTACTCATTTAAAACTTTTAATTTAATGATTAAATTCTTAAGATTCAACATAAATTATGAGTTATTTAATCAAGTATAATTTGACCAAGAATTACATTATATAACTAAATTCCTTCTATGTCTTTGTGTGTGTGATAAAAGTTTAAATAATTGTTTATTTGAAAATTTAAATAATTGATTTTCAGTAATAGGAAGACAAATGGCATTATTTTATGAGGACAAATTCTAAAGCATGTTTTTGATGTCTCTTATCTCTTCTCAATTTCTCTTAAATCAAACATCTTTATTTCTATTATATCTCTCAATTATTTCCATCCACCATATTTCTCACATATTTTTTCCTTTCTACCAAACAAACCTTTAAAGATGTGCTTAAATTTTTTTCTTTTATAAAAGTAAAAAAATTAAGGGTGGTGGAGTCTTTTTTACATGTTCATGTTTTTGTTTATACTTCCTTCGTCACAAAACACTTTTTGAGTGAGCCCATCATCAAATGCTCATTTTTCTCCTCTCTTCTAATTGAACCAAACAAAAGAATATTTTATCTTCTTTCTCCCCTCTCCTTTCTGTTTTATCTTTCTTGCAACCAAACACAATGTTAGCATGCAAAAATAAACTACTCCAACCTAACTTGCTTTCAATTTATTTAAAGATGATTTCGATTTGAATCTATTTTGATATTGGATTAAAAATCTCAATAAACCGAGCTAACTTTGGTGAGTTGTGGATTAAATTGAGTTCACTTGTTGATATTTTAAAAATAAAAAAAGGTTATAAAAATATGGGTGATTATTCATAAGTTGATCCACTAAATAAATAATTTTAATGAGTCATATCACTAAATTAGAAGTGATATTCATTAAATAGTACACTAGATTAACAAAATTTGTGATTTCAAATATTTTCTTTTTGTCAATAATAAAGAGAGTATTAGAAAAATATCGTTAACATTTTTCTAAAAATTATCATCATAAATTGAATAAATACAAGGTAAAATAGTAAAATAATATGAAATTCATAATAGTATACAAAATATTATATTCAACAAAACATTATTTAACCAAAATCTATCAAAATATTAAGAAAAAAAAAGTACAATTTGGAGGGTCAATCTTACTCATCCTTTGAACCATGAGATGGTTGAAATCATGTAAGATAAATTATACTAGTTGAAAGGTTGAACCACTCACTTTGTCGGGTAAATGAATTGCCATATTCAACTTATTTTGATATCTTCATAAACATTATATGTGATAACATTATGGTCTAAGGTGAAAGAAAAAAGATTGAAAATATTAAGCAAATACAAACTAACCAAAAAAACACACTGTTGGTCTTTATTGAATCATTGTCACTCAATACAAGAAATTCATCATATGTCAATTCAATTAAGATTATCAATACCATTTTGAATTTGAGCTATATTTGATCCACTTTGGACTATATTCTTCAAAAAGGCTTTAATATTGGTTTCAGATGACCCATTCTTGGAAACTGCCATCTGAGCCATATGTTGAAGCTCCTTAGCTTTCTTCCTTATATCTCTACCAACATCACTATCCAATTGCATGAATTTCCTAAGCAACATGGCTATCTCATCTCTTTTCACCAAAGTGTCCAACTTATCATCCTTCTTCACCCTCCACCCAACCTTCCAATCCTCCACTATGATCTTACTAATCAATGGTTGATCCAAGGCAATTGGGAAGGTCAAAAAAGGCACACCAGCAAAAACACCCTCTATAACAGAATTCCACCCACAATGTGTCCAATAACCCCCTATAGAAGGATGCAACAACACCCTCAATTGGTCACACCATGCAACAATCAACCCCAAGTGCCCACAAATCTCTTTCAACCTTGGATTCTCCTCCCCACGTGTCACCCAAAAGAATCTAACCTTGCTATCATGCAAAGCATTAGCAATTTCATCCATTTGTGTGTTTGAGATAGAGAGGTAGCTTCCATATGAGATGTACAAAACAGAACCCTTTGGTTGGTGATCTAGCCAATCCATGTAACCATGGTTATCACCATTGGTGTGAAATGAAATTTCTTTGACACTAAAATAAGGTATATTTGGGCCAATAGTGTAAATTGGTATCGAGAACGTTGCTTTCAAGGCATCAACTACTTGGGGTTCCAACTCATAGATTGAAGGTAATAACAAGTACTGTGCTTTATGAAGCCACTCACAACTCTTCAAAGCCCATTGTAAAATTTGACGATTGTTCTCATCGAGAAGAGGAATATCCGCTTGACGAATCCAAGAAATGGAAGGAATATAATCTATAGGTTTTCAACATTTAAAAAATGTGTTGCCTTAGTGAAGGCCATGATAAGAGAGATCGATACTAAAATATAAAGGATAGACTTATATATGTTTCGAGTATTTGCAAATATAGTCTTGTTTTGTATTTTTTTTTTTTTTTTTTGTAAAATATTGTCATTCTTAGACATGTTCTTAGTCTTTTTTAGTTCTTTTTATAATATTAAATTTGAACTAAGCAAATATTAAAAACTATTATTCCATTATAATAAAAGTATTAACAAATATAATTAAAGTTTATATAGATGAAAAATTGAAAATGTTATTCACTTTTCTTCTCCGAAAATTACGTAATTACTATGGTAGTGGTGAAATTAAACCATGACTTGCTGTAAATTTTGTCTCAAATGTTTATAATTATTATAATATAATGATATTCACTTTTCATTTCATAGTTTTATATTATTATTTTTTTATCTATTATTATAAGAGTTTAGTGATTATGTACTAATACTGTACATTATACTTTTAATTAATTAAAAATAATTATTGATCAATTTTTAATTATTTATTATAAAAGTAAATAAGTTTATCATAATTATTTATTATTTATTAGGATAAATAATTTATTATTTATTGATAATATAAAACTACTTTATATTATTTGTATATTTTTTTCTTTTGTAAAAATAGAAAAGATTACAAAAATAGTTGTAATGAGGATTGAATCTAGGTCCTCGTACTTTTAACTACCTCAACCCCTCCTCACCCAACCAGTCTATTTTCTCGTACTTATTCATTAATCGCAAAATTATTATGCTTTAATTTCAGATTAGAAAATCACCACACTAATTTATATATATATATATATATATTTTTTTTATATTTTTTAAAATATATAGAAAGATAAGAAATATTTTCTCCTAGTAGTATATATATGAATTATGACGTACTAGGATTTATCTAAATTATAAGAAGTTAACTAAATTATAAGGAGTTAAAATAATATACATAAGAATATAAGTTTGAACTTTAGTATTGTTTTTATAATTTTTATTAATAAAAAATTGTATATATGGAGTATAAATTAAAAAATATAAAAGTATTAATCAATATTTAATTATATATTATGCCTTTATATCCTAATACACTTATTAATATTTGTAAAAAAATTATTCTGAAACAATAAAAATAAGAAACAAACTTATATTGGTTTTTTTTTTTTAAAAAAAAGAAGAAACTAATACGGCTATTTTGCAAATATTTGTGGTTTGCTCATTTTTTCTTTTGTTGTTGAACTTTGAAGTGGATCTAGATTCTTCTCCTGTTTCAAATAAATTACTGTATTATATTTAACTTTTTCAAAAAAGATACTTTTTATTCGTGTACTACAAAATTCTTTGCCAACACGAATTCGTATTAGATATAGGAATGTGACAGGTATTAGCCATGCGCTGTCTCATTTTTTTTGGCACATGCGCACTGTCTCAATTTAAACAGAATTGTGACAAAATTAACATTTTAATTGCTACCTCATTTCTATATTTAGATTTTTTTAGTTTTTTATTTTAAATAAATAATAATCTAAAATTTTAGAGTCGATGGATATTTTAAAATATATTTTATTTAATATTCAATATTAATGATAAAAACATTAATGATTTATATATATATATTAAATGAGTTTTATTAATATCTAAAAATATGAGAAAAATAAATAATATTTTTATTAAATGAGGTTAAAAGTAATAACTATTATCCTATGTTTTAAAGACATATTAATTAATGGATACTGTTAAAAAAGACATTAATTAATGAATAAAAATTAAAGTCATGCATCTCATTATGATTTTTAATAAAAGTTTTATATGATTTATTTTATAACAAGATAATAGTTAGTCAAATTCCTAAAAATTTAAAACCATTTTCATAAAAAAAAACGTAATATTCATTATTATTAATACATCTCAATTACTCATTACCTCATTTTAATTCAATATTTTTATTTTATTTTTATTAAAGATTAATAGAAGAAAAAAAAGTAGTCTATACCCGCAGGAATAATATATATAAAAAAAAATTACATTTGACATCGACCAAAATACGTAATGTATAATAAATTTAATAATTTTTATAAAAACTATTTGATAGTAATATATAACATGATTTTTAATTAGCTAACTAGCTAAAAGAATTTTAACATCATATATTAAACACTATAATTGATAAATAAAATAAAATAAAATAAAAATAAACTCACCTCAACTCTCTGTTTACTTGAAGAATAAATAATAAAGTGATTGGTCTTTATTTAATAAAATTTACTATAAAAAGATGCATGTGAGTGGTTTAGTGTATTACTAACGTATGAATGAGATATGGAAAATGCACGTTGAAGTTGTAAAGAATTTTGGATCCTCACTCACCAAAGAACGAGTTTTGGCCACCGCGCTGGTTCCGTTGGAAAATATGGAAGTATAGCAGCCACAGCTCCGACGGCGTGGTTGTCCAGAAGGCGGCCACCGGGATCTTCCTCCGGTTGGCGACGGCGACGGCCCAGAAGAGAAAGGCGTCGCAGATGAGGAACGTGGGCGGCGGTTGAAGGCGGCGGAGGAGGTCCTCGAGCGGCGCCTCCATCTGAGTCATGACGGCGTGGACGACGTCGCCGAGGGTGTTGGCGGCGGAGGCGAGGTCGGGGAGCGAGGCGAGGGTTATGTTGTTGTGCGGTTTGGGTTGGGCGGCGGTGGTGGCGAGCCAGTGTTGTGTGACGACGAAGGTGACGTGGATGTTGGTGTTCTTGGACACGAGGATCTTGCTCATGTTCATCATGGGGTTTATGTGGCCCCAAGATGGGTACGGCACCACCACCACGTGAGACTCGACCTCCATCGATATATCACTCAGAAAGAGAGAGAGACTGATAACTATCTTTGTTGTGTGAAATTTCTAGCACACAGTTTCATATATTTATAGAAAATTAAGAATGCACAGAACTCCGTTGGTAATACTTTTATCACTTTCCGAGCTTCATTAGGTTAATCTGCATTATACACACGCAATCTTTCAAAGAAATTAAAAACAAAAGATTTCAAATAAATGTTGTGTTGATTTTTAATGTAATATTAATTATATTGTTATTAATTTAAAATTAATAATGAATAATTCTAAAAATATTTTGTACGCTGATTTTAAATGATAATACAAAGTATTAAATGATTTTATACTTAGTGAAACTTGACTGAATGTGATATATATAGATGATGTTGTATGAGATATGTGGATGTTGAAAATGTGGTATAACATTAAGGTATATTGGCTAACTTAGGACTTAGGAAAGAAAAATATTTTTAAAATTGAAGATCTCATATAGGAAATCATGGACTGGTAGGGGTGGGCAAAATTAACTTAACTTAACTAAAACTATTAATAACTAAATTATTTTAAACTAAAAAACTAAAATTATTTAAAATAAAACTGAACTAAACTATTTTTTAATTCAATTTTAAAAAACTGAACTATTTAAGTTAAAGTTTAGTTAACTAAAATTAACTACACCAAAAAAATAAAACTACTCACGACTGCACGAGCACGGCACGGTCCGCACGGATTGCAATTAAACTACGCACACACGCTACTATTAGGAATCGAATCCGGAATCCCTAATTCACCAGCCACCGCCACCGGAAAATGCGAAAATCAATCTTCCCTTTTCTACTCATTCGTAAGTATTTCAATGCACAAACAAACTATTTCGTTTTTATTTTCCTTCACTTACCTTCTCTATGTGTGAATCTGGGTGTTGAATTTTTCCTCAGCTTTCATTGAAGTTACCCTATATAGAGAAATTCAATGCAAAGATTCAGAGTCTCGAGCTAGCGAAAGAAACTAGAAATCGTGGTGAATGGTGCGTGCATTTTTGCTGCAGATTAGTAAGAAATATACTGTTGTTTATAGAGTTATTGTTGTTGCTTTAATGCTGTCATGCGCCTGTTATTTTCCTCATACAAACTTGTATTCTTTATAGAAAGAAATTCTTGTAAGTTGTAATCACATGTTTTTCCAATCAGTTCCATTATTTAATTTAAATATTAAATAATTAGCACCGTATTTGACATCTTATATAATTATCTCTATCACTTTTTATCTTTCCCATATACACGTATCTCAAAAGTACATCCTCAAAATCAAAGGGGACAGAAAAAATTATCATAGTTTAGGGTTTATAATAAGCCTTTTATATGTTCTTTTATACTTATTTTAAATAAGTTTTATGGCAAACTTTAATGTAATAAGCTATTTCCAACTTATTTTTAGTAATTTTCAAGGTCTTCCATATTATAAGTAGGGCCGGGCCAGGTATGCAAGCAGGTTAGCTTAGCCCTTTTAAGCCCAATCGATTATGAATCCCCATTTTATGTATTGGACTTGGTTGTTCTATATGGGCTAGTAAAATATTTCTCTAAACTACGTGTGGTTCACATCAAGGTAACCACTGAATGTGTTTGGATTTTTGTATACAAACTGTGGTTTAGGTCTTGTACAAAAAACTGTAGTTAAAATAGTGCAGTTCAACAGTTCATCAACTGGTGGCATAGTTTAAAAGCAGTTCATAAATAGTTCAGTTCAAAAATAGTGCAGTTCAGAAACAGATTAAGGTGTATAACAGTTTAGTTTAGTTCATATTATAGTTTAGTATAATTCAGTACAGTTCAGTACAGTACAGTTTAATAGAATAAAAATAGTTCAGTTCACTTTTTGTAATCTAATTTTCAGTTCATGAGAACTATTTTTAAGTTCAGTATAGTTTTTATAAGTTCAGTTCAGTTCAGTTCATTTTGCCCACCCCTACTGTGGACTGGTGCTCGAGTAAGTCATTGTTGAAAAACCCTTATTGAATAGATGTGTCTCTTTGAGTGGATTTTGAGATGTGTTGATATCTTCTTTAGGTCTTTAGTTAATAGTTGAGTAAGGTAGAATGTCAAAGGCTAAAATTCTTAACCAATTATTTGGAAAGGATGTGTATATGACTTAGTAATGCATGTCTAGATTGTGATAACCTTGTACCCAATTGTACTATTTTAATGGTGGAATCAGACTTTCCTTGTGTAAATGACAAAACCTGAGAAACTAGGGGAGGGATTGTTATCCCATTTTATTGTGATCAAGAAAACATTTTGGGTGCGAAAATGATTGAGTTGGTTGTTAAGTCTCAATTTTACCTCTTTTTGGATGAGATAGTGCAATAAGCCCCATTAGATGCTCTATTCTAGTTCAAAGGTTTAAAATCATTTCCCAATCTCTTAAAAACCTCAAGTTCAAGTTAAGGGTAATCAAGCCATAACAAGCATTATGCACAGAAACAAAGCAATAAAATTGAATAACAACTGAGATTGATTACTTACAGCTTACACATGATGAGAATGGGTTTAATTACATCAAACCCCAACAAGGGTGAGATTAGCTACACATAGACATGTAGAACTCTACAAAATGATGAAGAAAGGAAGAAGCTTGATCTTGAAGGTTCCAGAGCTCTCCAACCGCCACACAAATTCTAAGAATGATGCCTCTTCTTCTATCCTCGAAATATCCTCTTTTAGGTCATAAAAGCTTTTGTCTTATGAGAATAATGACATGTTAGCACAATCCACGCTAAGCGTGAGATGCCACGCTAAGTTTGAGGATTGGTCTGGAAAGAAATGATGTTCTGGGACTCTCACACTCAGCACCAATTCCACGCTCAGCACCAATTCCACGCTCAGCTTCAGGATTGAAGTTTGTTCCAGTGATTCTCTACCAAGCTGAGGCTAAGTGTGGATCTGAGGCTTAGCCTGGAGACTTAAACCAAAAATTCCTTCTACTTTGAGTTTACCACGTTGTCCTTTGCTTCCTTCATTCTTTCCTAGCTTTCTCCTAAACTACAAAATAACAACCAAATACTTATAAGTTACCTAAAAATATAATTCAAAGACAAAATGTAATCACCTAACAGTTTAGATATATTTTGAGTTAAAAACAAAATCTAAAGCAAAGAAAATTGATATAAGTGCTTCAAATTAGGTCATAAACTTAATGAAATCATAAAACTTATCAAACCTGTTATAGAAAATACATTTTTCTAATATTCTATTCATTTTTTGAATTTTCTCAAACTTGTATGGAAAAAACACAATTTAGATAGTTCAATACAACAGATTGTTGTCCAATTCAATACAAACATATATAAAATACAATATCCCTCATTTAAATTCAAACAATAGACAAAGTAAACTAGTTAACAATCAAAGAGAGTTAATGATAAAGTTAAAGTTAACAATAATAGTCATAAATTATAATAATGAACAATTAGTATAAGAATGTACCATTGTTATCAAAGAACAATGAATCGAAAGTAAACTAGTCAATGTACTCAAAGAAAAAAAAATAATGTACAAAAATATAAATTAATCCTCAAATTAACTCAATACATGTGGATGCCCATCTTTTGTGTATATCCTTTCAACTCTTCATCGACAAATAGAGTTGGATTTTTTAATATCTAGAATTAATTCAAAATAAAGATAAGTTAAATATTAGTTGATCGATCATTAAACAATTAAATAATTATTTAAAATAATTAAACTGATTTAAAAATATATTACCTCTGAATGACATAATCAATACATTCTATAACAAGTGCAATTATATTTTTCACAGAATGTTCTTTCTATATCGAATAAATTCTCACCTACCATAAAATGATTGTTCATATTTACGGATTTGTCACCGTGTCACTATTTATGACGTGTAGATGAGACTTGCCATAAAAAGCCTTGGTGACAAACTAGTTAAATCACTTATAGACTCGAAAGATGAAAATTATACTTTAAATTATTGAATGTAAATTTTGAATCAAATTAGTTTATGTTTGGGATCTTCTCATTCACTAATTAATATTGACATTAAATATGAGGCTAATTTATAATTTGACCAATTAATACATACTAAAGAACGAGGACTGTAATTAATTTTTTTTTAAGCATTCATAAGTTAATATATATAT